CTCTCACGGGTGATTGCTGGTAACTCGGAATAACCTGGCTGCCCGTGATTCTGGATGTCCGGGCTCATGTTTGCTTTGCAGGGATGTGGAATCGGTCACCACAGGAGTTCAGCTCCTTCAGCCGTGGAAACACTGCTGAAGGATTTACGGGAAAAGGAGCCCAAGGAGCAGAAAGGTTTGGAGATTCAGGTCTCGGGAGGAATGAAGCAAATGGCTGTTTCTTAAATCGTCTCCCGTGAGTGGCGCAGGCTTACTTCCTATTGAGAGATAGAATAATTTGGATTCTTAAGACTTGGCTTTTAAAATAGCTTGTTATTTTACGTAGAGGCGTGAATGCTGATGTGAGCAAGTATAAGTTATTTAAAGCGATTTCGTTGAAGACCAGGCCAGAGCCCACAGGTGCTTTGGCGTCTCGCGGGCTCACGCGTGTGCCCAGCTGGGAGACGCAGGTGGCACAGCCCGAGCAGGGCCGGGCTGGAGAGCGGCTCCTGCCCAGCCCTCGGCCCCCGGCTTGCTCCGCCCAGGGCCTGACTCCACCTCCTCAGTTCCCAGGGGCCGCAGGCAAACGGGAAGCAGGGCGTGGAAATGAGAACACACTGGAAACGGGAGTGGGGATGCGTTTGCCCGGGCACCCCAAGCGAGCGCGGCCTCCCCTAGGCGACCGAGCCTGGAGCCCCCGTTTCCCGCCTGCGTCAGCCAGGACCCCTGGACGATGGCACCTGTTAATGTGGGTGCGCCGGGTTGTCACATCCCTCACCAAGATCTGGATCGGTCCTTTGGGATTCTTTGTAAACATACACGCGCAGCAAAGGTAACCGTCGTGAAGAGCAAGCCCTCCCGCGAAACCGGCTGCACTGGGTTCACCACCTCTCCCTGTGCTGGACGCTGAGGACAGTGATGAAAATGGGGTGACCGTGGCTGAACTCAAGTCACAAGTGCAACAGCTGGGGGAGGGGGCGAGCAACACCAGGAAAGGCCCAGGCTTGGTCCCCCAAGGTTAGCCAAGGGGCTGGAGAGCCTCAGGTTGACATCATGTAACGCTGATGACAAGGCAGAGGCCACTGTTCTTCATTAGCCAAATTTAAAGCTCTGAGGAGGACAGTTAACCACCAGCTGCATCTTCAGCCTCCAGTTTGGAACTAGCAGCCCCCCTGGCTAGCACCTGGAGCCCCAGGCTAGGAATCGTACCCCTTCTTGTTTGTCATAAGACTCTGCCATTTCTACGTCAAGAAATATTCCAAATCTACTGAGTCTCCCCAGCGCCCAGTGGCCCTCTCTTGTGCACAGTGCGGCCATGTATCATCAGGGCTATGAGGGTCTTCCTAGTTCACTGGTGTATTCGGGGCCATTTTTCTCTTTAAAGAAGTTTATTGATTTTCTTGGGGGTGATATTGGTTAATAAAACTGCATAGGTTTCAGGTGTACAGCTTCTATAATACATCATCTATGTTTTACTGTGTTCACCACCCCAGGTCAACTCAAATATTGCCTCACCAAAGAGGCCCGCCTCCAACACCCTCATGACCACAATCTAGTACTTCACCCTGTTGAAGTGCTTCATGGCTGAGATATTGTGATTTATCTTTATTGTTGAAAGTATTACAGATGTTCCTTTTCTTACCCCTTTGACCCCCTCCTCCCTACCTTTGCCTCCTCCCAGTGTTTTTGTTTTTAAATAAAATTTATCTTTTATCATGGTAAAATACACATGGCATAAAATTTGCCATCCTAACCATTTTTAAATGTACAGTTCAGTGGCTTTAAGTACATTGACTTAATTTGTGCAACCATCACGGCCATCCATCTCCAGAATTCTTATTTTGCAAAAATGAAACTCTGTACATGCCAAAGCATCACTTCTAAATCCCCCATCTCCTCGATGCCTTAGCACGATGACCTCAAGGCTAATCTGTGTTGCTGCAAGAAATGTATAAGCCAATACTCCTGACGAACATAGATGCAAAAAGTCCTCAACAAAATATTAGCAAACTAAGTCCAGCCATGCATCGAAAAGGATCATACACCACGATCAAGTGGCACCTATTCTTGGGAGGCAAAGTTGGTACAATACCCTCAAGCCAATTCGGGTGATGCGCCATATTCAGAACGAAGGGTAAAAAATCACGACTGTGTCAACAGATGCGCAAAAAGCAGTTTTGAAACACAGTGAATGCCTCTCGACCTCTGGTGCTATCAGTTTCATTTCACGTTCAACACAGTGCCTTGGGGCTGAGAGTTCTTGACTCACAGGCCACAGGCTGCAGGACACATTGGACCACTCGCAGTGGAGCAGCCCCAGACTTGGAGGAAAAAGGCTTCCTTGCCTAGCAGCAGCGAGGCCCTTGGTACCCGCCGGCCATCAACACCCCGCCCCGTTCGGATCCCCTCTCCGATCCGCCTCAGATGGGTTGATTGACTTATTAAAGCTAAGCCTGGTCAAGTTCTAAGAAAGATGGAAAACATTCACAGGCCTCCAAGCTCCCTAATCTCCTTACAGCTGGAAGGGGTCTTCCTTTCGGCCTCGCCGACGGTTCCGTGGGGGCTCGCACACCAGGTACCCAGCCCTCGGCCTGCGCTCTGGGCGTGGGGGGCCCTCGGCAGATGCTCCTGGGCAGCAGCCTCGTTAACAGGGCAGCTGTGCACGCAGAAGGCCGCTTAAATCTCCTCCGTTTCCTCCACAGGCCCTTTTGGATTCCAGTCTTCAATTTCCCCCATCCCAGAGTCCTTTGAAAATTTTACAGTCAATTTTTTTAAAATTGAATTTAGAGGCCTTGGGAGATTCACCAATGCAGGTGCTAAAAGACAACCAATTCTAATGTGGCTGATATATTTTTAGGGCTGTACTGTAGCTGGGGGGAGGGAGGGGATAGCGGGGATTTTTAATCTCCCTGAGAGAAAGCTTAACTGCTAGAAGTTAAAGCCAGTTCTTCTCAGAGTGAAAATGTCTGTGTCCTCTCGGGGACCCGATTGCCCCAGGCTGCCTGGGGAGAGACAAGGTTATTTCAAGTACTGGGATACTTCCACACCTGTCCTTCCCAAGAAAATAAAACACTTCAGAACCTCCACAGCCTCCAAGCTGGCAGACAGTCCTTCGTGGCCCCTCCTGAAAATGCCTCCTCTAAGTGAGTTTTCATTTTCAGCTGGAATCACCCGGTTTCTCCAGCTTTGGTCATCAGATTAACGAAACCGCTGCCAAATCTACATTTGATTGCTTTGTTTCTCGGACGTGTTTTTAAGTTTAAGCAACGGATCATAAGCACATCCAACGAACACAACCCAGGAGACACAATTTTTGCGAACATGTCTTGTGACCCCAAAAGCCTGTGAAATTCCCGAGGTCCCGAGGCCAAATATAACCTCTCAGTTTAGAGAAAATGTTCTCATATAAAAGGCAGGAAGAGTGTCAGTGGAATTGTGTGCACGGTACAAGTCAAAATCACCAGTGCGTGTGTGGTTTTAAAGGGCACGGCCGTCTGTAAGAGCACTTTGGAGAGATCTGCGCCGCATTTACAAAACAGATAAGGTGACACGGACTTTTGTCCGACCACGGCCGTCTCAAAGGGACAGGGGCAGGCCGGTGAGTCAGGTTCTCCGGTTTAGCTCCACCGTCCCCCTGAGGCTGCGTGTTAGCGGCCCTGCTGGTGGCCGCTTTCCTTTCGCGGTGCCACGTTCATGGGCTCACGAGCATGTGAGGGTTACGGAGTTTAATGAGGCTGCGCCTCTCAGGTTCGGTTAACCCCCGACAGCCGCTCCAACCCTCGATGCTTTTACACAATGCAAGTTGGTTTCTTGCTCATGTCATAGCCCAACGGTCGTCGGCAGGACACTCTATTCAGGCTCTTCCCATGGGGAGCCGCGGAGACCCAAACACCTGCCCCGCAGTCAGGGGGCAGAGTAGAGAGGGTGAAGCAAGGGATCTTATTGCCTGGGCCTGGCAATGGGGCACATCACTACTGCCCACGTTTTACTGCCAGAAGGCAATCCCACAGCCACCCCACCCGTGACATAGGCTGGGACATGGGGCCCAGCTGTGGGCCCAGAGGAGAAGGCAAACAGCTGGTGACTAACTAGGCAGACACTGCTATAAGGGGGGGAAACCATCAAGGAATTGTTCTTAACTTCCCAAAACTACTTTAAAACTTTTGAATGCAGATACTCTCTTCAACTCTTTTCTTAAATATATCTTTATAGATTTCAGAGAGAGGAAGGGAGAGGGAGAGAGAGAGAGAAACATCAATGATGAGTGAGAGTCATTGATCGGCTGCCTCCTGCACGCCCCCCACTGGGGATCGAGCCCGCAACCTGGGCCTGTGCCCTGACCGGGAATCGAACCAGGGACCTCCTGGTTCATAGGTCGACGCTCAACCGCTGAGCCACGCCGGCCGGGCTCGTCAACTCTTTTTTAAAGGATTCAGAAAGGAGAGATATTTCTTTAAAAAGGAGATTCAGAGAATACCAAGAGTTAAAAAAAACAACACGTGGCAGAGAACAGGCACACAGGCCATGCACGCTGGGGCTGGTGGAGAAGATACCACACCGTCTGCATTTATTCCTCTGCATGTAAATGTTACCGAGTGACTTTGTGAGCATAAAAATAAAGCAAGCTGCAATAGTTTTAACTGGAACATCCCATTACATTTGAGGTGAGTCAGGAAACGGAGTAGAGGAAAAGGGTCTATTTTGGGCTCTGAGCACAGCTGAGGAGCCCTAGACGCCTGCCAGAGACACGCAGCTGCAAGAGCCTGGCACACCTGTCCGCCACCTGCACACCGGGCGCAGCACCTGCTGGTTTTCTTGTCGTGTTCCTGGCCCTCTACTCTGAAAGTTATAAGAAGCAGAACCAAATATGACAGCATTTTCAAAAGTGTCAAGTAGCCCTTGTATGATTCCGATAAAGGAAATATTCCAGGCAAGAAGAGCACCCGTCTACATAAAGAAGCTTCATCCGGTTGGCCAGACTTCACTCTCATATACGTAAATGTGTATTATGAGCAGAAAATACGTCCATCTGTCGTCTAATCCTACTTATCGAGGGGCGATGGGTTTTGGGGGGTTAGAAACCACATCCAACCTAAATACTTCTGAAGCACATAACAGGGACAGTTGTCAGGAACGGTAAACACTGGTTTAAGGTGGTATTACCAAGCACTACTTTATAAGACCATTTAAAACAGTAACCCGGCAACCAGCTTGCTTTTGTCCAAATAAATTACACAGCCATAATTTGCACTCAGAATTTCCAAATAAGCTTCTTAAAAACAAAAGACACTTCCAAGTAAATATTTAAATGGGCACATACCTGGAAAATGTTCAGCAAGAACTTGCTCTAGAAAAGGGTTTGTCAGAATTTCTTTACCTAAGCAATTCAAAATGAGACAAAGATTATGGTTAATCTAATTTTATAGACAAAGAGGCTCCAAACCCTTAAAAAGGAAAGAAATAAAAGCAAGTCAACTGCATGACAAATAAATTAAGAAACAAACAAAAGGCACCTACTCTTGGTGAGCTGGGAGAAGCGGAGCTTTAGTTCCCTCTTGCAGGTCCCTGGGCGGTTCACTCACTCACAGGTACTGAGCACCTCCCAGTATCTGCTCCTCCATCCGGAGGGCTTTTAAGGGC